TGATGCACGACCCGCGGTCTCAGGGCGCCAGAGCTTCGGCTACAAAGGCCTTTGAAATCATTTCTCGAAACACTTTGGGCAGCCTAAGTATCGAGCATGTTGTGTGGACGTGGTTGACCATGTTGTGCGGTCCATGTGCATGCAATCTCTACGCGGTTGCCAGGGGACCTATGACCGTCAATAAGTCGACATTTGGGACCTTGCTCCACACCCAACTTGTTGTCACCATATAGCGACGGTGTTAACACACGACACCAGACCAGGGTCAACCCCGGAAAGTACTTACAGTACTTACAGTACGTGTTAGTGAACAAGTGAACAGTGCGTCGAGGTGGATGATTCACTTCAACTGGCTTTGATGCCAATACCGTGTGGTGCACGACAGCGTTTCATAGTCACAAGGCTCAGCAGCAGACATTCACGACAGGACAGGTCTTGATAGGTCTCATTAGGGTCGTGGCCAGGGCGCGGTATTGCGACTCGCGGTATGGGCCATGTTTGCATGCTTTCGGCCATGGACGGTCAGGGATGTGGGCGCGACAAGGTTTGCGTGTGCTGCACCGACATCTCAAAAGTTGCTAGCCCGGCCGTCTCCTGCATTTGCTGCGAATTGCGCCTCTTGTGCTTTGGGGCTCTTCTGCACCCTCTGCACGCGTCTTGCCTGCATCTGAGCCGGCTTGTGCTCGTTGTACCCGCTGACTCTACAGAGGCCTGCGGTGATCATTGTCGGCTTCTGTGGTGCTTCGTGCTTCGCGCTGCGCTCTTTTTGGCCTCGCCGTGCAACACCACCAACATCCATCGTTTGGACCCCCTGAAGTCCCCGCAAGCCCCAAAGCCTGCAAGCAGCCGCATAAACTTAGTTTAGACCGACTGTTTCCTGCGCGTGTCATGCCAGGCCCACACGCCTGAAGCCCACCCCTAGCCGACACTGTCACTACTGTACTCCTCTCTATACGATCGACGAGCGGCGCGTCTGCGCTGCCAATCCGCCATTGAGATTGAGCCAACAAACAATCGAACCAGCGCCCCGGAGAATGCGCCAAAGCCAAAGAGTGGGAAGCACACCGACGCACACCGACACGCCCAGCCCACCCGCACCATGGCGAACTATGCCTATGACCATGGCCGCCCCAGCACGCCCACAGGTTCCCAGAGGACATGCAGGCAAAACGCTTCCATGCGTGCTCTCAACACCGCCCAGCCCAGACACGAGACTTTCTTCGACGACGCGACCCCCGTAGACCACTCCGCCGAAAAGCCCCTCTACAACTCGCTGCGTGACTCCCACGACCTCACCTTTGCCGAGCACGGCAATGTGCGGGACTCGGTCGTCGACAACATGCTGCTCTCGCTCGACCAATTCTCCACGGGCAATCTGTTTGGCGGTGGCAGCTCAAGCTCACAGTACGCAGGAGGTTATGCCGAAGACGACTTCTTCCTGAGAGACAGCTCGTATAGGCCGCCCGGGCCACGCCATCGGGGGCACACCTACACCTCCTCGCGCTCCTCTGACTACGACCTGGGCTCCTACGAGCCGTCCCGGTACACGGCCCAGCACTCGCGCGCACGGCGGAGCAACAGCAGCAATAACATTGGCACTCCCGTAGCCCGCAAGTCCAGCACCAGAGACATCTATTCGAGCAGACAGGTCAACAGCCCTTATGGCCTCCAGCAGCTGGGACACCTAAGAGGCGGCCCCAACAAGGGCAGCAAGGGAAGCAGCACCTCGAGCATGGACTTTGGCCCATCTGCTGGTTTGAGCAATCAGCGTATGGGCTTTGGTAAACGCTCTGCCAGCTTTGACCACAGCAATGCCAGTGATCGAGGGAGAATCTCGCCTCTCAAAGTTGAATCAGTCTTGGACAGAGGGAGAATGGCATACCAGCATAGCTACACAGACGAATACGACGCTGCACCCGAGCCCACCATTCCAGCAGGCCCACGAAAACTCCAGGAACCACCGCTGTCGCCCCTCGCCCTCCCTCCCCAGCCCTCCTATGTATCTTCGCAGGCAGCTCGGCCTGGGCGCAGAGGCAGCGTGCGCTCCAATACGAGCTACAGGACGCTGCGGAAGAACAAGAGTCAGCCAGGTCCGAACATGAGAGCTCAGGCGCAGGAGTTTGTCAATGCGAGCACGTTGCGAGAGCTGCCGCCTGTGCCGCTATGGCATGACCCTTCTGCTCCTTCGCCCGGCGTCGCTGCCCGAAGCCCACTGTTTCCTTCACAGTCCCCGGCAGCTGCATCAAAACCTGGCTTCTTCAGACGTGTTTTTGGCGGAGGATCATCCAAAGCTCAACCGCAACTGTCAACTGTTTCAGCTGTGTCGCATGCGACAACCACGACGCAGAGGGATCCGTCCCCAGCCTCGGTTCGACAGCAACCCGCAGATGTCAATTCGATATATTCCATGGCGCGACCGCGCACAACACCAAGCAACAATGGCCACATTGCCACGCAACTGAAATCAATACCCAAAGCGCCGCCGACGGCCTCGTCGGTGCAAATGGACACATCACTATCCCAATTACCGGCACTAGGCAAGAAGCCTTCGTCCTTCTTCAGACGTCGGAAGAAGTCTATGACCGAGTCTGTCAAGCCGCCACTCATGCCGGTTGACGTGACACAGCCGCAGAAGCCGATATTGCCCGCCCAGCCTAGTCCCGGCGTTAGCAGTCTGCGCCAGGTTATGAACCCGTATCTCAATGATGCAGGGCGTGCGGGGGAGCGGACCCACGAAGGACAAGACGAGCAGTCTGGGGACGATGCAGTCAACGGCGAACGGCCCCTGGGCTTTTCGCCTGGCTATAAACCACACAAGGATGCAACCGTACGTACAGTCAGGCCAAACTCGCGAGGCGACGATTTGACGCCTCCTACATCACAAGGAGACCAGCTAAGAGCGTCACAGTGGAGCAACAACACAGGCAGTCCCAAACTCAAGCTGAAGCTAAAGCACGGCCGACAAACAATTCCGCAACCACAGGAAGACAGCTTCCTCGCCGACAGCAGCAGCTGCAACGAAGACTATAGTGGACGCGCGACCCCGACGGGCGACCAGAGTGGCGTCGACCATGTGCGGAGACCGAGCACAGGCCCCGCTGCGTCGTCGCTCAAGCAGATTGGGGGAAGGAGCAGCCGCAAGCCGTCTGTCGACCACAAGACGGACTTGTTAGCATCCCACGAAAAAGTAACTTCCAGGGGTGCATTAGTGTCTCAGTCGGCGTCGGAGGGCGACGAAGGCTGGCTCATCACCGCATCAAGTGAAAAGGTGCACTTCTCCAACTCCAAGAGCCCCGCGGCGAAACGAGTCTGGCTTGATACAACTCTCCCGGACTCGCTCGGTGATACCACGGATAACCTGAAGCTACCCCTGGAAGGCGCCCACTCATCCCAGCAATCTTTGGACCAGACATCGCCACAGTCGACTCAAGACAAGTCTCCCATATCGCCTGATGACGTTTTCCATTCCGCCTCAAGCCTGCCCATAGTGCAGGTTGAAAGCCGCGAGTCCACCGAAATGCCTTCGGCTACCCAGGACCGCTCCACGCACACCGAACCCACCGATGCTGAGCGTGAGCGTGCATTCCAAATCTACAGCGGCGATGACTCCTCCAGTCTCAAGGCTCAAGCTGCTGCCATGCTGGGCGATGTCACTTTGTCCAGTACCAGGACCCGCAAAGCCTTTATGGACCTATTCGACTGGACTGGCTTCAACATCTTGGCTGCCATGCGTGACCTCTGCGGCAAGATCATTCTCAAGGCTGAGACCCAGCAAGTTGATCGTATCTTGATGAGCCTTTCTGAGCGCTGGTGTGAATGCAACGCCAACCACGGCTTCAAGGCAGTTGGTGAGTTCATACCCTATTTCCCCTTACGATATCAATTGCTAACATGAACACAGACGTTGTGCACACCATTTGCTACTCGATTCTCCTGCTCAACACAGATCTGCACTTGGCTGACATCGAATCGAGGATGACCCGTAGTCAATTTGTCCGAAACACGCTCCCTACCGTAACCCGCGTATGCCAAGACGCGGTCAAAGCTGCCGCTGACGAAACGCTGAGGCCTCATTCGACGCAACTCAGAAGACCCTCTTTGCCTTGGAACGACAAATCAGAGCCTAATTCGCCAGGTGCAGACACTACCGCTTTCCCTGCAGATGCACCCGAGGAACCCATGGAGGCTAGAAAGTCCCGTAGCCGCCTCTCTATCCGACCCCCTGTACGGAGCGGCTCCGAAGGTCTGCTGAATTTCGATTCTGCGGCGTCCGAGCCCAATACGCTCGTAAACACACCGTACAACGGGCCCATGCGAGGTTGGGAGTTCCAGATCGAGACTGTACTCAAGGAGTTTTACGATTCTATCCGCAAGCAACGCTTGCCCCTGCATGGATCTTCCGAAGTTACGGTTCATCACCAGCCTTCATCTAACAATCTTTCCGTGGGTGGCATGCTACGCCGCACTCCAAGTGTGCTGAGCAAAGCACCTTCCGACAATGCGAGCTACCGTGGCCGCTCCCAGAACGACTTCCGGAGTATGAGCAACCGCTGGGCTTCTAAGAACCGCTCAAAGCAGAAGCTGTACCCCTCATCTACTGTAGCTTCTAGCCGCACCAGCCTGGATGATCAATCCGTATGGAGTCCTGCAGGGTCAAGCACTTGGAGCCGTTACTCGTATGGCAAAACTGGGACATCTTTGTCAGTCGACTCACTCGGTTCGCATTTTGCAAATGGCGATTATCAACAGGCTATCGGCTTTGCCAATGCTCTTAGCCAAGCTATCATTCGCGAGGAAGGCATGACGATTGCTAGCGATGAAGAGTTCTCTCGCGTTGCCCCACTTTTGGAAGACGAGACCCTGGAGCTTGTTGGTGCTCCCTGGGCTAAAGAGGGTATCCTCAAGCACAAGCGACATCTTGAGGGAGTGGACAGAAAGGCCAAAGACCGGGCATGGAACGAGTGCTTTGCTGTAGTCGAGAAGGGCTGCATGCGTTTGTTTTCTTTCAGCATGAACTCAAAGTCGGTGAGGCAGAAGAGCAAGTTGCGACCATCTGCTGGCGGCGTTGTGGGAGGTGGTAACTGGATGGACAATGCCGAAGCCCTCGACAGTTTCCAGCTGCGGCAGACAATTGCCAGTGCGCTACCTCCACCAGGGTATTCTAAGACAAGGCCCCATGTGTTTGCGCTTTCGCTTCCCAACGGCGCTGTTCACCTCTTCCAGGTCGGAACACCTGACATCTGCCGCGAATTCGTGACCACCGTCAACTACTGGTCTGCACGCCTCTCCAAGGAGCCTTTGATGGGAGGCGTCAGTAGCATGGAGTACGGGTGGGGTGAGAATGTCATTAACCCAGCTCTGATCCGCCAGGATAGTGCGCCTTCCGTCCAAGGTCACATGCCACGCCCGAGTGTTGCCAGCTCCATTCGTAGTTCGATGGACCATGGCACAAACACACCCAAACCCAGACTTCCCGGCGACAAGGTTGTGCTCTCCGATTGGAGCCCGCCAGCATCCAGCATGATGGCTAGCACCCTAATGGAGGTGGACCAGCTCAGAGCTCTAACCGACTATGTTAAGAACATTGAGAACGAGCTCTCGCACCACAACGAACTGAGAGCACCTTTGCTCATAGCAGTAAGTTATACTATTTTAGTCTTATCAAGCTGTCACTAATCAAGGACTAGTTCTCGCCTCGTCACCCCAATGCCGCCAAGGCCATGGCCAACTGGGAACGCAAGTCCCAGTACCTTCTCCGGGAGATAGTCAAGTTCAGAACCTACATCGATACGCTCTCAACTGCGCAAGCGGCGAAGCAAAAGATCTATGCTGAGCGTGAAGCTCGCGAAAAGGAGATGGAAGACTCTGACCGGGGTGCAGAGACTGACACCAGTGCGAAATTCACTGAAGATGATGGTGCGCAAGAAGCTTCCGAGCCTCCTGCATCACAGCCCATGCCAAACCCTGCCCTACCGGCAGCTTTCCCTTTACACCCATGATCGCCCGTCGCGTTGATTGGGCGTTGTACTGACGATTGATTTCTTTGTTACGAACAGTTACTCCTCTAAGGCGTACGATACGGCGGTTGCGACTTTTACATTCGTCAAGACCCAGTTTGAGACAGCGGCCGCACTCGGTGGCGTGACGCTGTGTAAACCTTTTAATCTGTACGACATTTGTATGTTTAGTCAGCATTTTCAGCATTTTTCATATTTCCTTTCATTACTTCGTTCAAACGAATGCGTACGATTGCATTGCGAGAGCCGTGCGTGCTGGCGGCAACTCTGTGTACGATTACATTAGCTTCCTGGCGAGCACCTGGCTTGGGTACATTGATGATTTTTATGGTGGTGTATTTCTGGTGTCTTTGCATGGAGCCTCTTCTTAGACACGGGGAAGTGAAGCTGAAGAGCAATTGTTTGAATATTATACCCACACGTTTTGGAACGCATACATTATACTCTTCCCTTGATACCCTTTTAATGTTACTTGTCATCATTGCGCATATCTATTTCAAAGGTAAGACTACGTAGGTGGTACATGACAGCTAAAGGACGCGTCTAAGCCTTGTACACTGGGGAAGGGTAGGCAGAGGTAGGTACTGTGAAAGTGTTACACGACATTCTGACGCATTGAAATGACTACATTAGCTCAGGAAGCCCGTGTTGTGGTGTGGTGGTTGATGTAACACTCACAGCCACCACACTCCAAGTCAATGATGGCATCCAAGGAGCGGGTTGCTGCAAACAACAACAGCGGACACGCACGACGACGAAATCATGGAGGGCTTCTGTACGATTCCAATCACGCGTGTTCAAAGTTTCGGTCCTCGCCGTTTGGGTCGCAAGCCACACGATGGGCTGGACTCTGTTAGCGCCGTCATTGGAACAGCCGTACAGCAAACGTGCAGCAGTGCGAACCCGAACCGTGTGCGGGCGTATAGAAGGCTGGCCGGAAAAGGCGGGATCGTGTAGACGACTCCGGGACGAAAAACGAATTAGGAAAGCTGAGGTCCTGGGCGTGCATGCATGCATCCGTATGCGGAGTTGAAGGCGATAGGCAATCCAAGCGAGGGGGAAGACTGACCATGTTGGGTATGCGCTGGAATAGTAGGATTGGGCTGAGTTTGGTGCATTGGAGATTACGTGTGGTTCTTTTAGGACGGGTCGGAAGCGTGTCGGAAGCGTGTCGCTGAGGACATGGTGCAATGTCAAAATAGAAGTGATTGTGTTAGTGTCCGCTGCCAGAGGGGATGTAAGTAGACGTTAGTCAGGAACAACATGTACTATAAATGAGCACCAAGCTCGTACTCTGTGCTTCTGATTGCTCATATACAAACCCAATTACCCCCACCACCCCTCTCCCACGTTCAATCCAGGTAATCGGGATGTCTCGGTGATGCCGTCTCGCGCCGTGCCACGCGAGACATGGCCAAGCCACGCGTGAGGCTCGACCGAACAAGCTGTCCGATAAACCATGGCCAAGGAGGGTCCAAATTAAGCAGCGAGTGCAGCGGACGAATTACAGTGCAGAATCCCCGAGAGATGTGGCACTGGGATGTTTGGCTGCATGGGGAGCAGACACGTAGGGATGGGTGTGGAAATGACATGGTTGGAGTTTTGGTCAGTTGAGTTGGCCGGCGGGTTGCAGTTGATTGTTGCATCTTGGCCCTCTGGTGTAAGCGGTTGTCACACTGATTAGTTGTCGCGATGTAGATGCGTGTCGGCATTACAGTAGGTTTGCATAGCGGCATGCCATCTTCCACCACGAGAGACATCAGGTGTAGCGCCATGGACCCATTACCGTTCCCTGACACACGCCGGTCTTTCCTATTTCTTCTTATTCCCGCAGTTTGAACTCTTGGTGTAAATCCTGATTCCAAACAGTTTTCTCCATCCCCTCCGCGATCTTCACTGCGAACTGCCGGTTGCCGTATCATTTTTCATTTTGCTCCGAAACCTTGATCCCTGGTCCGAAGAGGAGCTCAGCCTCAGCCTTACGAAGACCAGACCCCGCGCCACGCTACCGCTACGACTGCTCTCGAGTCGAGTACCGGCACATCATCAGCCGCACGCTATTACCAACCACACTACAACTTTCTTCGTGCACCCTACAATTCTCTAACATTCTCCTCGGAACCTGCGTCGCAATACTGGTATACCAGTACATTTGACCCACGCGCTCCCAAACAGGTATTTGGTCGACCAACGTGTGCCGATATCCGTTAGGCCTCTCCGCCATCACGCGCCACAAGTCCTGATTAAACCTCAACTCCACACCCACGTAACAGCTGGATATGTCTTATTATCCCGGACAGCAACACCACGGTGGTGGCTACGGCGCACCACCGCCACAGAACGGCTATGGTGCCCCGCCCCCGCAAGGATATCCCCCTCAGCAAAACTATGGGCCGCCGTAAGTGAACAACGACCAGCCATGCTTGTCGGACGCTGACAGGTGGTAGGCCTCCGCAGCAATACGGCTACCAGAACCAACCAGGACCCTACAATAACTATGGCCAACCTACTCCACCGCCACAACAGTACGGGTACAACCAGGTACGTGTTTCGCATTGCGACGGCGCAACGGAGCCGTTACAAGGTCAGAGAGGCCTAACATGCATAGGGACCACCACCACAGCAGTACGGCAACTATGGCCCTCCGCCTCCGCAGCAGGGTCCTCCTCCTCCTCAAGGTATATCTACTATGCGACGTATTAACACCATCTAACAGCGCGACTAGGCATGATGCCCACTGCTACCAACAACCAATGGACACAAGGAAACCACAATGGCCCTCCACCTCCACCCACCGGCGCACAGAACTTTGGCCATGGCGCACCCAACGGCTATTCATTTCAATACTCGGCGTGTAACGGACGGCGGAAGGCGCTCCTCATTGGTATCAACTACTTTGGTCAAAGGGGAGAGCTTCGGGGATGCATCAACGATGTGAAGAACATGAGCAAATACCTCAACGAGTTCTTCGGCTACAAGAGAGAGGATATGGTTACCTTGACAGATGACCAGCAAAACCCGATGAGCCAGCCTACAAAGGCGAACATCCTACGAGCAATGCACTGGCTGGTCAAAGATGCGCGGCCAAACGACTCATTGTTCTTCCACTACTCAGGTGCGTCATGACGCGTGTGGTGGTGTAGAGATATGCTGACTTTAGTAGGACATGGTGGTCAAACTAAAGACCTCGACGGAGACGAGGACGACGGCTACGATGAAGTAATTTATCCCGTCGACTTCCGCACTGCCGGCCACATTGTCGACGACGAAATGCATCGCATCATGGTCTCTCCTCTACAACCAGGTGTGCGCCTAACCGCCATCTTCGACTCGTGCCACTCGGGCTCCGCGCTCGACCTACCATACCTCTACTCCACCCAGGGTGTACTCAAGGAACCAAACCTGGCCAAGGAAGCTGGCCAGGGATTGTTGGGTATTATATCAAGCTACGGTCGTGGCGATATTGGTGGTATGATTGGCACCGCGACTGGTCTGTTTAAGAAGGCGGTCAGCGGCGACGATGTCTACAAGAAGAACCTAAGGACAAAGACTAGCCCTGCAGATGTCATCATGTGGAGTGGATCCAAAGACACGCAAACCTCGTAAGCGCTCCCCATGCTACCGAGGTATTGAATCACTAACACGATTAACTAGTGCCGACGCAAGTATTGGTGGTGAGGCCACAGGCGCCATGTCATGGGCCTTCATCTCTGCACTGCGCAAGAACCCCAACCAGAGCTATGTACAGCTACTCAACAGCATCCGCGATGAGCTCCAAGGAAAATACCAACAGAAGCCTCAGTTGAGCTGCAGTCATCCACTGAGTAGGCCTTTGCCGAATTCCCATATTCTCCCGGGCATCATATACTGACAGTATAATACAGACACTAACTTGCTGTACACCATGTAAACAACCATGCTTGTTTCTTGGGACAAAGAGATGAAAGAGGAATAAAGAACCAAGGTACTTGTAAATGCTCCATGGTGCGCGCGTGCTCTTTGAATATCATGATGACATGACGGGAATTACAAAACGGGATGCCGGGGGCCAGGCTGTTCTTGTTTTATAACTAGGGGTGGGCTTTGCGGTGATCAACCTACTCAGCTACTATGACGGCGTTCATGTTTTCCCCAACGGTTCAAGTGGGATGGGATTCTTTTGGAACGGGAAGAAACTCAATCATCATTCGTTATTATTGTCTCTGAGAGGAAGGGGTATCGAACGTTCTGTCTATGAGTCCGTCGACTTGGCAAGTAACTGTAACTGCAACCTCCTGCCTAACGCCCTATGCCGCCATTATCGTTTGTCCTCAGTGGACGCATGTTCGTGTATCGTGATGCAAACGCATACCCCAAACGCGCCCATCTATATGAGAGGCCAAAACTAAAGAAAAATCGTAAACATCATCATCACACCTCACACATCCGCCATCTCCTCGTCAACCCAATCCCTCCAGCTCCTCCACTCACCCCAACTCAACGCCACCTTCTTCCCCTGATACCTCACCACCTTGACCCCAACCTTTTCCCAATCCGCCTTCCTGCCCCCCCACCCAGCCTTCCTCATCAAACTAACCAGCGCCTCTTCCTTAGTCCACCCCTGCTCCAGCGCCACATCCGGCAAATACGTGCTGCCATACCGTCTCCCCTTGTCGGTAAACGAGATCCTCAGGCCATGAGTCCCAATCTCCCAATCCATGGGATCCTCGACGCTCTCAAAGTTTGTGAGCAGCGTGACTGCGACTTCGAGCGTGGGCAGCTCGCGCGCGGTAATGGGCGCAAAACGCGTGTCGTCAAAGGCCGAGGTGAGGGCGTAGGAGGAGAGGCCTGTGGTGAGGGGTTGGGCTTCAAAGGTGCCGATGCAGCCGCGTAGTCTCTTTTCCCCGGATTTGGACGATACGGTGTTCCAGGTTACGAAGAGGGGGTGTTCTTCTGTACAGTCGTCGTTGTCATCGTCGTCGTCGGAAGCTAGGTTCGTGGAGCTCTGGCTTGTCAGGCTACTCGGTGTTGAGCTTGCGCCTCCGCTGGGCGTGGAGCTTGCGCTCTGTATGCTCGAGGAGCTGGCTGACGAGGGGGGCGAGCCTAGGATACGCGATACAGCGGCTGGTTTGTATGGTGATGCCTCTGCGGCTCTGCGGTCGGCTTCTTCTTGTTCGGTTTCATCTTCGAGTTCAGAAGTCGTGGTAGGTTCGGATGTGTATTTTGCCCACAGCTTTTGAACCTGAGCGAGGGAGAGAGCGGGTCGCTTTTCCAGGCTTGCGACGAGGCTTTCGAAGCAGTATGCGCAGTGCGCTTGCGTGGCCATGGTGGGTTGGTGGGGTAGGACGTGTGACGCGCGTGTTAGTCCGGTGTTTTAGTTACAAGACTGTTAGGGTAGAAGGAAGTAGCGGGCGTGAGGAATGAGGAAAGAGGTTGATGCCGTATCAACGATAGTCAAGGCAAGATATGACGGCGGAGTCTGGGGTATGGAGCTGCAGCTAGTCGGGCTGCAGAAGGGCTGTGCAACAGGCTCAGGAACCGGGATGCCTTCGGCCGACCTTCCGAATAAGTTGTACAAGAGCGCGTAGAGAGTGTATTATCGTATCTGAGTGGTAAATAGGGACGCTCTTGCATCAACTCCGGAGGTCGACGTGGGCTGTGGAGTAGAGAGATGGGAGGTGAAGCTGAGATGTCATGTACCCTGCCGATTACACGCCTGGCTTGGAAAGCGTCATCACTCCATCAACGACTGTAAACAGTTTAGAAATATGCACTTTATTGTATTGCTAAACACTTGCATGCTGCCTCGCGGTCCGGTATCTCAGGACCTCTCGAGGAGTAACAAAAGTAGTCTCAAAGCCCTCTGGTTGATGACTGGTATGTAGTCCCATCTTCATGCACACTTGCCCTACGGGGTAAAAGGCTGTGTGTTTGGTAATGATGGGGTAGTTGATCTTGCCACGATAGATTTTCCTTCAGCAGGTCGAGCATGGAAGAGCTCTGTTGCTGTACACACTAATGGCTGGTTGGAGGTTTGCACCTCCTTCACTTGCTGACTTACCTGGATACCTGGTTTCGAACGGTTGATCGATGCAAAACATCACATGAACAGTCGCGCTGGTGGACCGAACTGACTTTTCGACTTATTCATTGCCACGTTACATGCCTGCGGTAGGCGTGTAGCGGCTTGCTTCTATCCCTTGAGCTCGAAGCTGTTCATAAAAAGTCCGAATGCCATTGACGCCGACCAAATGTCTCATAAAGGAATCGAAAACCGCCATCGTCGCTCGCTCGTAATCGTTTCGTCCTTTATGCCGAGTCGCGCTTGCCCTCCTTGACCTCCTTCTGTGTGGCTGTTAGCGGGTCGCCGGGATGCGATACGGGGTCTGGACGCACCAGAGCGCGCATGGTTCCGTGAAGAGCATGTCTGTGGTTCCTCCTGAACTTGGGGTCGGTTCCCTTGAGCGAGGGGTAACGGTGAGTCTTGGGCTTCTTGATACTGCACTGTCATCAGCTATTGCCCTCCATATCGCTTGACCATTCGAGAGCCACGTGTTTCATCTGCGCAATGATAGTGCTCGTGCGATGGAGAGGGATGCATACCCGTTTCGGTGGTTCTTCTTCGACTGGTTGTGCTGGGACGAGTTCTTGGATTCTGCGCGTTTGCATTAGCACACTGATATCATCAGTAGCGAGCAATCGCGAACATACTGGCCATGGCGACGGTTGTGGATGTCGATTTGGCTGTGTGGTATTGTCGAAGAGCTGGTAGGAGAAGCTGAATTTCCCGCTGTCTGTGGTGTAAGCGAGTTCAAAACCACGCTAAGGGACTGTTAGCGCGGTTTGGAGCCTCGCGACTTCCCTGGACGTGCGGTATCCTCGTCAAAACTCACGGCTTCATTTCTATCGAGAGAATCTTCACCTAAAATACAGGGACTCAGTAGTCCTTTTTTTTCGTTATTCTAGGGTCTGCATACTAGATGCGTCGCTTTGGGTCTCTTTATGCTATCAAAGTTACAAACTAGCACACTCGCGCATTCCCGGGAGCCTCACCAACCTGTGCTGGATCCATTTCATGAATTTTACAATTCACGTTGTTCTAATTCGACTCCTTTCCTGGTCTACGGGATATGCCCTCGGTTTAGGCTGGATTTTGCATCCTTTCCCTCATCCATCGTCGTTGTCGTTGTCTACGTTTTGTCTACTTCAGCCTTCTGGCTAGTAGTGGATTCTCATTAGGTCACACTACTTTCACGTTAAGTTGTGCTTTTTGCTTTCCTGCATAGCCATCGCTGTCTTCGGTGTAGCAGCCTCCGTCCATGATGATTGGACTTTTAGTCGGAGCAACTGTGTTTCTGTTCTTGAACGTAAAGAGGGCATCTGGCAGAGTCATGTCTCATGGAATAGAACCTTGGAATCTTTCTTTATTCTCAGGCGTGGATGTGTAGGCTGGACTGAGTCACGTGGATTTCTTTTGTCCACTTAGCCTGCGGAGTTCAAGTCATGCGGCGACTTTCCCGAAACGTTAATCTTGCAACTTGACATTCAGCGGAAGAAGTACGGGACGATTGCATCATCCAAATTGAGGTTCCCCGCCATCGGGATTATGCATTGATCTGAGTCGGGAGACGCTAGACTAGTATGGTTGACTGCGGTCATGAATTCGCGCATGCTCTAGGTCTTTATAAGGAAGCTTGTGCAGCTGTGGCGCATTACTCTCACATGCTTCTGGCTGTTTTATGATTAATCCAGCCTCTGTGCAAGAGTCGCATTCAAGACAACATCAAATATGACGGATACACCGACGAGGATATCTAGGTTTTCCGACGACAAGACAGAGACGTTCCACGATGCCGATGCTACAACCATCGATCCGGTCGCTGAGAAGAAGTTGCTCCTCAAGTGCGACCTTCATGTCCTTCCACCGTTGTTCCTTCTTTTCCTCTTGGCATTCTTAGATCGTGTCAACATCGGTATAACTCTCACACCATGGTTATGACCATCCGCATATTAACGAAGCGTAGGCAATGCAAAGATACAAGGTTGGTATGACAGACTTAGACACGGTGTGGTGTAGCTAATCCCAAAAGGCTTGACGGAAGATCTGGACATGAGTGGTCCAAACGCCCATCGCTACAATATCGCTTTATTCATCTTTTTCGTGCCCTACGTCCTTTTCGAGGTCCCATCAAACCTGATACTTAAGAAGCTCAAACCTTCGACATGGCTCAGTTTGATCATGACACTCTGGGGTGAGCTTTGCAGACTCTCGTCGTCTGCCAGCCACTCTAACGCCTACCAGGCCTCTCAACAATTGGAATGGGCCTCATCACCAATTTTGAAGGACTAGTAGCAATGCGCGTTCTGCTCGGTTTCTTTGAAGCGGGGCTATTTCCAGGTACGTATCGATTGCTGTGCGTGCTTTCAATGCTTATATTGCAGGCTGCGTGTACCTCATTTCAATGTATTACAAGCGATACGAACTCCAGTGGCGACTTACTCTGTTCTTCTCGGCGAGCATCATTGCTGGAGCATTTGGTGGAGTAAGACTACGCAGAGTGCTCAAGACCCGATACTAACTTCCCTCAGCTTCTTGCATTCGCCATTGCCAAAATGGATGGCATCGCCAACTACCGAGGCTGGAGATGGCTATTTATTATTGAGGGAATAGTAACTGTCGTCGCTGGGATCATCACAAAGTTCTGGGTGGCAGACTGGCCCGAGGATGCAAAGTTTCTGAACGGAGAAGAGCGTGCTTTGCTCCTAGCACGCTTGAGCGCTGATACCGGCGATGCTGTTATGGATCGGTTTGACAAGAGGGCTGCCAAAAGGATCTTCGCAGACCCCAAGATCTATCTCGGGACTCTTGCATACTTTGGTGCGTAACATACGTCTCCATCTCGAGTATCGATTTGGTACGGCAAAACATGCTAACCACCCAATTTTGCGTCTCAGGTATTGTCAATACAGGCTACGCAGGAGCCTTCTTTACTCCAACAATCGTCAAAGACCTTGGCTACACTTCAACCGCGGCGCAAGTACGCTCGATCCCCATCTTCGTGGTAGCAACCATTACCGCACTTGTAACAGCATGGCTCACCGATCGTCTCCGCCACCGCTACCTATTCTGTATGTTCGGTCTCGTCGTCGCATCAATCGGTTACATCATGCTTCTTTTACAGGAGAATCTCTCCGCGGGTGTCAAGTACTTTGCCCTTTTCCTCATTATCCCTGGCGGCTTCATCACCCAACCCGTAGTTCTGGCGTGGATGTCCAATCTTGTGTCTGGACACTACAAGCGGTCCGTTGCTTCCGGTATGCAAATCGGTTTTGGTAATCTGGGCGGTATCGTTGCGAGTAATGTCTTTTTGCAGAACGAGATGCCGACGTATCGTACGGGGTATGGGGTTAGCCTGGCGATGTTGTGGGTTTGCGGGATATCGTGTACGGCGCTGTTGTTTCTGATCAAGTGGGAGAACGGAAAGAGGGAAAGGGGGGAGAGAGATGATAGATTGATGAAGGCGGATGCAGACAACCTTGGGGATGATCATCCGACGTTTAGACTGACTTATTGATGTTGGCTTTTGCGCAGTAAAGTTAATGTTCGAGTGATTGGTGCATATGAAAACATGGTAACAGGCTACATTCTAGTGCAAGTTAGACTTCCCGTGAAACGCATAATATGCACATTTGTCTGATTCTCTTTGTTGTCTAAGTCGTATCCGTGATTTCCGAGTACCATCTCACACTTCTGTTATGTAATTTGCTCAACAAGACTTCACGAATACGAAATGACTTGAACCTTGCATTATTCATGCCTCATCCATATCATATATGAGTCCCAAAAACGCACTAGAATCTGCACACTCGCTGTACCCATCAAACCAGCGGTCATCCTTAATGACGATCTTCGCATCCGCCATGTCAAAAATAACGCTGAATTCGGCGACAGCACTCCATAATGTCCATCCGTCGTTCCAAAAATGCAGACACAGTGTCTTGAACCCTGAAAGATGCTGTACTATGTACTTTGCCAGTTCTGTATATGCCTGTTTGATGAAGTGCTCTAAGCAGTCTTCCTCGTAAGACTGAATGAGGAGAGAGAGACTTGATATATTCTGTCGAGCCGATGCACTGAGACTTTCCAGCCACTTTTGCGTGGCATACGCTTGGTATCGCCCGCGTGGACATGGGCCTGTCAGAAGAATAAAGTTGTGACGTTGATATGCTGAAGGGTCTGCGTCATCGTGTATCTGCTTTCTTCGCTCAGCTTCCTCCGCCGTTGCTGGCCGCAGCATATTGATCGGACCATGAGCCTCTTGCAATACCCATAATTCTTCGTCCCCAGATTTGAACTGAACCTCTGGTCCTAGACATTTGTATCGAGTGTAGATGTGGCCTGGCTCTAACTCGTCTTGTGGTGGTAGATCAGGTCTTGGACAGCGGCATATGTCGATTTGTGAGTGGCCGACGAAGGTAGTGTTGCTTGGGTTCTCCAGGTACGGCCAGTGCAAGATGTAGTTTATTGTTGTGATATCGTCCACTTCTGACGGATGTGACATTGGTTAGATGAGACTCTGGTGCATGGAACTGCATCGAAGGGGTGCTTTCAAGGTTGGTAACTTGGAATAAATACAAACCTAGTCATTCCTACGCAAGATTGCCACGCAGCTTGAAGTCATGCATGAAACACAACCGGTGTCCAATTTTGCCGTATAATCCACGGACTAAGCTGATTAAAGGTCATTATGCATACCGCTCTTCTCACTAGACTCGAGGTATCAAATCACACATGTAGTCGTTGGTACCGCAATGCCGGATAAAGCAATGCTGTACGCCTAGTTTGCTAAGAATAGTAAACTACGTTGGCACAGCTGAGTACATGCCAAGGCGACAGTGCGTCAGCGCACGAATGTGTGTGGCGATGGATGAAGCTCAAATTACTCGGTGCCCGGTCTCAATGTGGGCCGGCAATGTGGGTGATGAAGTTGATGATGTGTATGGGGTCAGAATATGGACCAGGACAGTTGAAGTGATAGCATTGCCCTGTTTGAATTGTCTGGTGAAGACGGTATTCCACGTCTGAACCGTTGGTGCAAATTACATCCAGCCTTGAGACGGCGTGGCAGCCAGACCCGTCGATGCTTCCGTCAGGACTCCCGGAGTGCAACGTCATTGGTAGTTGGCCCATGCGTGATGCATTACCTGAACAAGCGTCACGACGCTCCACGCGCACGCTTCTAGTGAGTCGCGACATGTCAAAACAAAAACACGACGCTGTCGTCTAGATGAACGTCCACCGCTGTCTTGATGGACGAGACGGGGAACGCTGAGGCCCAGTCGCCTGCCTTTGAGGCGGGCAGCTCACCTCCCACGCCCACGCAACAGAGTAGCAATGCCTCGGCCAAGTCGAAGAAAGGGGAGGCGATTGAGCAGACGGACTTTGCGAATCCGACCTTGGGTATAATACGCAGATTCTCCCGCCAGCCATCTATGAGCTCGTTGGTATCGCGAGAAGATACGCCCCCGCCTCTGCCACCGCGACCGGCCCTCAATCTACTATCGCGACCCTCGACATCCCATTCCACGGCGCCCGCGAGACCCCGACTCCTATCCAAAGCCACCACACAGCTCTCGGTCGCAAACACCCAGGCCTTTGCTACCGATACGAAAGATGTATCGCCGACCTCGACTGTGGCGAGACCGCATAACTTTGTAGGCGCAAACGTAGTTTCGCGCAATATCAACGATGTCGATGACACGGCGAGCGTGGCCAGCTTCGCGCCGACCGAGGCAGCTGGGTACCAGGAGAGCATACTGGGAGAAGTAATAGGCCAGGCAGAGAAGTCAGAACAGGAGAAGTCACTACTTAGGACGTTGGGACACAAGTTTGGCGACGCTGAAGCGCAAAGCCTGTTTCCCCCGGATCCCTACTTTGAAGCTGCTTTCCGTCGCGAGTTCGACGAGATTGATGAGATGGCAATGGACGGGTCAAACGAAGGTCAGACCCGCATCATGTACGTAGAGGAGGCTCTTGCTGATGTAGTCTATAGAAACGGTGATGCACCAATGGCGCGCTAAACTCAAGCATTTCCTCATCCTCTCGAGCGCCGGCAAGCCTATATACAGTCGACATGGCGACGACCAGCTCATTACAAATTACATCGGCGTGGTGCAAACCATCATATCCTTCTACCAGTCCACTAACGACACCCTGCGAGGCTTCACTGCAGGAGATGTTCGCTTCGTCGTCATGTCCAAGGGTCCGCTCAATCTGGTCGCCATCACGCGTCTGCCAGAGAGCGACTCACAGCTACGCTCGCAGCTAGAAGCACTCTACATGCAAATTCTCTCGACGCTTACTCTCCCTAGCATGGAGCGCATGTTCGCAGCAAGAGCGAATTACGACCTGCGTCGTCCTCTCCAAGGAACTGAAACACTACTATCAGCTCTCGCCGATGGCTTCACACGGGGCTCGCCCTCGACACTGTTGTCAGCACTGGAATGTCTCAAGCTCCGCAAATCCCATCGCGCCACCATCAATAATACGCTTCTCAAGACGCGGTCTGAGAACCTCCTCTATGGCCTAGTCGTGGCGTCAGGCAAGCTTGTCTCCGTCGTCCGGCCCAAGAAACACAGCCTGCACCCAGGTGACCTCCATCTCATCTTCAACATGCTATTCGAAGCCGGTAGCGTCAAAGCCGGCGGAGGTGAGAATTGGATTCCGTTGTGTTTGCCCGGCTTCAACAACACGGGCTATCTGTACATGTACGTAAGCTTCCTGAACTTGGAACGCCCTTCGGAGCAGATGCAAGAACGGCCTCGCACCAGCGATGGAGCCGACGACGAGGTTGCGGTCCTTCTCATTAGCGCAGACAAGGAGAGCTTCTTCGAGCTTAGACGGATGAGAGATGATTTGGTTGAGGTATGTTGTATTCTTTTTTTACTTTACAAAGTCTCCTTATTTCATTCCAAGACATTGGGCGGCACAAAAGACGCGTGGTTCAACAGATCAAATTTACTTTGTGCGTATCAGACAGACGCGGCTGTTGGGGCCGAGCCGTAGATATATTGTTGACATGGGGTGATGCGGGTTTGGTTGGGGAGGGGAATTTGGGGTGGGAAGTGGGGAAACGGGGGGCATTCGTGTTCGCATGGGGTTGCCCTGGGAATCTCTCCGACCAAACCCTACTTCGTATCATCTGCCCTTTTGTTTCTGCCTCGTCCGTCCCGGAAGACGGGTCTTCTGTACGATTCGGCCTCGGAGCTTGGCATCCCCGTTGCTCCTTGTTACTCCGCCTGTCCTTACTAAACGTCCGGCTCTCGGCCCTGAGGACTGGTCAGCTCCGATTCGGTCGTCTGCTGGGTCGACGTCCCGTTGGTGCGGTTTGGTCACTCGGCTTGATTGCTCCTCTTTGGACAGCCCTACCAAGAGGGATCAGCCCTTTGCGTTATATGGGAACCATCGAAGCTAACGGGTACTTCCGCAGAACTTGGAGCGCAACGGCTCTATTGATGCCATACGGACGGCTGTCCAACAGGGGCGTCCCACCTGTACGGATATCGTACCGGGCAGCCCGCTACGACACTTTTTATACAAGTCGAGGGGCAATGTGCAGTTTACCATGCCTAGTTATGCACCCTATTTTGGTGGGGATTTGGAGAAAAGACGGTATGTCCTATCGGCGCATACTCCTTCCCCCGTCCCGTACCCTGTATGCTTACTCGGATCTTACCCTCCGACACTTGGGCCTTGTTTCCTTTTTAGGCTTGCGCTGTTCTCACGCATCTTTCCTCTGATCGATCGTCTTTACTGATCTATATGGGCTAGACTGATCGATCTCTACAACAAACTCCATAGCAATCTGCACAGCAAACCCACAACCCTCAAGGTACACCATGAGACGAATACTACATGCATAGCTCTGGCATGGAGCACACCGCTCTTTGAGCTATATGCTGTAGCGCCTGCGAATACGTCGAGGGCCGCGTTGGCGGCGAGTGCGAATAAGATTATCCAGTGGGTTAGGCGCGAAGAGGAGAGGGTGTTTATTATTGGCGGTGCGGTATTCTAGCACATATCAACGGGTAATGAATTTTTTCTGTTGGGTCACAAAATCATGGTCAGGGCAAGTAAAGTAGATACCCAGATACGAGTACGAAGCTCACAAGGCAACAAGCATACATACGAAATGAGAAGATGATAAAAATCATTTACAAGGTTCATACTTGTACACACCGAGGTTTTACGACTGTTTCCATGGGGAAGAGAGCCAAGCACCAGCATATATTCATCCAAGCCTTGGGCGTACCCACAACACCAAAAGACTCAATCAGGCCTTTGGTAACACCCCGGCCCCCCTCATTTCACCAAACACATCCTTCAGGCTTCCCCACGTATCCCTATACCCCTTCCAACCACACTCCCTCGCCTTACTCATACTAATGACCAGATCGAAATTCCTGCCCAGCACAAAGCCCAAGAAAGGCCAAGTCGCCTTGTCGAAGGCAGTCTTGTCCAACCCCTCACGCTGCGCAACACGGATCCAAGCCTCTCTCACATCATCTCTCTTTGCCCATTTGACCAAATCAATATGCTGTTCCACTTTGTTCGTTTTTTGGACAACGTATGTACCTTCTAACCCCAGCTCAGCAGCTTGAACCGAGATGGGTGGTTGAGGCGCCATATCCACCGACGATGCCATACTATCGCCATCGCCATCGCGAGCCTTTTCTCCAAACTGATTTTTCTTAACGCTCGCACCAAAGTAGCTCACAACTTTCGGCCACAGATTCATCCAAGATTCCACATCGCCATTGACGACGTTGAAGGCTTGGTTCGCAGCGCGTGGTTCCAGCGCGGCTCAGGCACAGAACTCGGCGTGGAGTTTGGACGAAGTGAAGGAGTCGAATTTTGTGTAGAAGGAGGGTGATCCGGGGAATATGATTTCGTTGTTCTTGTTCGAGTTGGAGGATGAGGAGGCAGCAAGTTCCTTTGAAACAACAGTATACAACGCAATCGAAGCAGCCAAATTCATAAAATTCCCCATTGCAAAACCAATTACATCGTTCGGGTACGTGACAACCCACTCCTTGGCGTGTTTTTCGCAGAACTCGTGTAGAATGTTTTGCTGGTTGTAGTAGAAGTTGGGCGGCCATTTGGAGGTATCGGTCAGCCAGGGCGTGTCTTCCGTCATGGGTTGTTTGGGCATTCCGAGGTGGACCCCGTATTGTTTTGCACCACAGACAAGGATTATCCGTTTTACGTCGGAGATGGCGTTGGTCTTTTCGAGCGCGGAGAGGAAGTTTGAGAGCATACGGCCGTTTACGGTCCAGGCGTCTTGTTCGGCGTCTTGTGCGAGGTAAGCGGCGAAGAAGAAGTATTCGCCGCGTACTGATTTGAGGTCTGCGGCCATTTCATCGGGGGAAGATTGGAGGTCGATGTGGTTGTGGATTATGTTGTCTGGGTAGTCTTCTTTTTTGCCGCGGGAGAGGGCGTGGATGGTGGGCCATTGTTGACGGTGTTGGCTGAGCTCGAAGACGATTTCTCGGCCCAAGATGCCTGCAGTTTGTTAGGAGAGATGGGATGAGATGTAAAGGACACATACCTGTGGCGCCGGTTACAATCGCTGAAGGCATCTTGTTGGTGTGTCGGATGTTATGTTGTTACTTCAAAAAGTTGGTAGACCCCAGTATAAGAAGCAGTGCTGTGAGCATACACGACGTAAATATGTTTTCATCCAGGTACATGTCACAAATTCGTATAAATAATTGCCCACTGGGTAATCATATACGGTAGCTGTGGTCCACCGCGGCCGACCTATCCGAAGACTTACGCCATGCTGACATGGCGGAAGTAAAAGACCCAATCAACTTGATAGACCCTGTATTTGCCATCGAGATATCAGGTGACTGTACCATCCATAGTAGGCGTCAAACTAGCTGAGTATCGGGCATTGATTTCAGGATGTAATAACGCAAGACGCCGTTGTCTTGTAAACTTTCCAGTCACACGAAGAGGTTGCCTTGAGCAATGACTAAAAACCCCACAAGTCAATGACCTCTCGAGTGTTTGTATATCTAAATCTAACGTAGGGCCACGGCGTGTGCCTTATATCCATTCTGGTCTGTTCCAAGAAGAATAATGCTTTCCCTCTTCCACTCCAGAAACATGTATTCAACATGGTCCAACGAGTGAATATCAAACCAAGCGAACCACAGGTCGGATACATTTCCTGGTTTGTGACAGGGCGCGTTTTGGACTCATATCCCTCGAAACTTGCTTTCCTTTACGGCCATACGAAACACGTCATTTTTTTGTAGTTGCTTTTTATGTTTCGTTTGTCGCAGGGGGTTTGCCTCTCCTGACCCGGACATGCTGTGACAGGTGCCACGTCTTGCGCGCAATGAGTCATAGCTAGGAGGTTCTCGGTCGGATTGAGGGTCGCAGAGTGGAGTGGAGTGGATGGAGGAAAGCGATGGTAGGACGGGACGGTCTTCACTTTGGTGGACGCTTTTGCCAGGTGAGCTCTCGAAACTGGCTCTTCACCTCGTCTTTGAAGTGATCAAGCGACGATGGACCCGTTCCTGACAGTAACGTTAGTTTATCGTAATTCCAAGACAACAAATACACGGCATAACATACTGCCACCCCCATTTTTCTGCTCAAAGTCCGGTAGTCTGTTGATCTTGCGATAGGCCTTTTGCACGGCTCGGTTGAATGTCGGCGATCTGATGAGCTTGGAAGTGTCAGTTACTAGGATGGTAATGTACGTAGAGCAAAGGAACATGGACGTACGCGTGCGACGGCCCAGGCCTGTACCCGATTGTCAGTATGGAGTTTCCATTTGGTTCAAAAGGGCCGGCATACCTCGAAGAGTGCGAACCATGGGCCCATTCTGAGGTCAGTAAGACATATGCAGAGTAATATTCGCTGCCACTTTCGGATAACAGGAGTGCGCCGGCGTTGCGTTGGTCGAGCAGGTGGCGGATGCTGTGTGGTGGGTGAAGGGCAAGTGTGATGGGGCGACGTCGGAACTGACATGACAGCGGAATGACGCCTCCAAAACCAATCAACTAGTCACCCGGGCCTGCAGTTGCAACGCGAACGCGAACGCGACTGACACTTCCAGTGCTTCTTGGTTTCATCCCGTGTTTGTTTCTGTTCTCTTGTTGTTTATAACTTGGTCCATCTTCTCTTGCACACTTTGATTCTCTACATTCGCACACTGAACATTACACAATACAAGGGCCTGCCTCGTACTGTGCTTTGGATTATACACAACCCCCACTACTGCGTGCCCCTCACTCAACCCGTCACTATCCAGCGATTTGTTATACGCCCAACTCGCCCCATCTATTGTTAGGTGTGAAACACCAGCACGCACGAGTCGCACACGTGGCAGTGGAAACTGAACACCTGGTACCCGCAATCACTATCGGCTGATCTTTACTCTCTTGGGCGTGCGGCGACCTGTGCACGTATCCGCCTCCACCACCCGCTCACTATTCAGTCTTCAACTTTTCTCGTTCCTGCACTCCCTGGGCCCGAATCGCTCCTCGATACCAGCGCCAACTTCTTCAAACTGCATAAACTCCGCGCCCTCAGGCGCAAAGCGAAGCTCAAGGGCGTCCTTCTCAGGACCGACCCAGACATGGCTCAGGCGGGGGTTCCCATCTCTCCTTCGGCCTCGTCCAAGCGCTCTCGTAGCAAGGACAGTACGCGTTCGCTTACCACCTCGTCGCTCAACACGCCCGCCGCGAATACGCCTGCTGCAAGCACGAACAGCCTGGTTATTCCCTTCTTGACTCCAGGTACACCTGGCGCCTGCCATTTATCCCCTCAAGACCCGACTCCATATCCAGTCTTTTTGCAGCCGACCGCGGATCTGCGCGCCAAATGGGATCGCTTGGAAGAGATATCAAGAGCACGCATAAATGATGCCGGTCCACTGAATGCGTCGGATCAACCAAGTCAGTGGGCGAGGTGTTGTGGCAATGGATATGCCATTCGCAATCGATATGCGAATGTCGACCCCTATCAGTCCAACCGCGTGCATCTTGAAGTACCAGAGGGTCAGTTTGACTACATCAATGCCTCACCAATCATTCTCGAGTGTACTGAATCAGGAACCTTGCTCAAATACATCGCGACTCAAGGACCCAAGGCTGATACCTGGTCGCACATTTGGCGCATGATTTGGAAGGAGAATCCCGAGTTTGCAGTCATCGTAATGCTCACCCAGACCTGGGAAGCGAACCGCGAGAAGTGCTATCCCTACTATCCACAATCACTCGACGCCCCCGATATGCGCGTCAACGAGCAGGACGAATTCCAGGATGGCCTCATCCACAACCTGCACTTGGCTTCGTACACGATGGACGAAGATGCGCGGACTCAAGTGAGGGAGATAGACATGACAACAGATGATGGAAGCGAGTCGAGGAAGGTCTGGCACCTCCTCTTTGCCGGCTGGCCAGACTTCTCGGTACCCGAGGGAGATGATCGGGCAGGTATGCTGAAGCTGATCGAGATTTCTCACGAGAAAAATGGGGGCGAGCCGGCGAATCCGCGTATCGTACATTGCAGTGCGGGTATCGGCCGTAGCGGAACCTTCATTGCGTTGGACTGGCTCGTGCAGGAGCTCGAAGAGGGCGCACTGGATGAGGTGCCAGAGTCCGAGGACCCGGTCATGGACGTCGTCCAGAAGCTTAGAGACCAACGACCTGGCATGGTACAGTCCGACTCACAGTTCCAGTTCATCTACGACGTCATGCGCGAGCGATGGCGCGAACGATGGATTGCCCAACATCCTGATGAAGCGAACCAACTCGGCCTGACCACTGTCACGACGCCATCCGACTGCGAGCAGCCTGCACTCAAACGCCAAAAGTCGATACATACTAGCGATGAGGTTCCTCCGACATCACCATCCTCACATAGCCAGGACCCGCCCGGTTCGCCGGATGCGCTCGCACAACTAGAAGCCGAACTTCAGGATGCCGATATGGAGTATGAGCAAGGCAAGACCTAGAGGGCTTCGCTAGTACGAAAAGGCCGGCGTTCGCAAGTATCAAGAGACACGCGCATGTTGTCGTTGGCAGACAATACCATGCCTCCCCCTGGGCCTGGTGTTGGGACTACCGTTCCACCTTCAGTCGTACCCGAGAACGTGTCTGTGGAACTCCATATTGAGCCACTAGAAGGTGCTACAGACCTTGAAGCACAATTGGACGGGGTTGAGTACCCTCCCCCTCCCCCCTATCCTTTACCCCCTCCTTATCAATCAGTTGAGTGTCTTGCGTTTGGTCCACGCGAGTTGATTTGTGGCCCTGTACACATGGTTTTCTGCATGATTCTTACGTGCTTTCTTATTGTCTGCATCATGTTTGCTCTTTAGGATAGATAGTCTTGAAAGCCGTGTAATTTTGTCTTTGGATGCATAGCGTTGCGGAAATACCCCCTAGGTTTGTTGGGTTGGGTCAAGTCTCCAAGAAAGAGAGCGGGCAAAGGTACATAGTCTTTGCATTCACTGTATTGGTAATTTAGATTCTATTCTGCCGCTGCCCAACTCGCCCTCGAGTTTGAACCATCCCCGCTCTTTCCCTTTCTATTATGTATATCGTGAGGCAACATTCGGACCGTTGGCGATGAATGCATCTGCCAGATATCGCCCTAGAACTTGCAGTGGTAGCGTGCGCACTACCTGGGTAGGCCCTGGCATAGTCATAGGGCTAAGCGATCATGTGACAGCCAGCTGAACAAGTCCAGCATCCCTACCATCGGTCTTCACGCACTACCACATCGACACAAATACATTTTGCACGCTATACTTATGGTACCAGAGCTCCGCTCCAATCCAGGTCTAGCAATTTCCGTCTCCCGGCCTTGATCAAAAGAGAGTAGTGCATTCAAACACTGAGCTGGACGCAATGCACAGCTTACATGCTCCTTCCTTAAGAAATCTACCGTCCCGCAGTACCGCCTCAGCCCTAGGCAGATAGAGTTGAGTGCTGACACCGGACAATGCGCAGTCAAACCCAACAATAAGCATGAGCGGGGGTGGCACTGCACACACAGCCTTGTTTGTCGTATTAACCCCTCGTATGGCTCAGGTACCGGCATTCCCCTTTTTTGCGACACACACGACGCCTAGCACCAACGCACAGGTGTTCACTTGGCAACGTTTGCTACTCCCCCAAGATCGCAAGGCGCAACAACGATGGGCACAGAGCAGTAGAGCCGAGCACTAGGTCCTTGTTTTCATGTGTCTGTGTGTGTGTGTGTGTGTGTTGTGGCCGTATTCTGCCCGCTCCCCGTGTCTGAGCCACACACCGCCTTTGCCAAGGTGAAGGGAAATCAAGGCGAAAGGGGAAAAAGGGCTCAGCGCTGAGACGATCGCCGACTTGGATTTCCGCTTCCTGTCTCGGTCACGCTTTGACTCATCTGCGTTTTTCATTTACCCATGTTTTGTTCAATACAGTGAGTGAGATGCCGTGTATTCTATTTTCATTCATACTCATGCGTCAAGATTTGTCCGACGGTAAAGGAGGGGGACTCGGTCTTGTATTACCAATCAGACTCTCAGCGGCCTCACGCTTTGGTTTCCCCTTTTCTCACCTCGTGTTTTTTTAAATGGCTCATTTCCAGATATGGTATTTGATGATACGTTATATTCTTTACTGTTCTGTATTAAACGGTATAGTCACGATACGTGGTCTGGTCAACCATGAGCTGGCTAGGGCAACAGCAAATACCGCCGACAACGCGCAACGTGCACTGTTCTTGCTTGTGTTTCTCTTTCTCTCTGCAACTAGCACGGCGCAAGAGGCGCGTAACAGTAATGTCACTAATCTTGGCGCCGACAAGTAAAACCAACAACCATTCACTTGGACATTATGTCACATCACCTAAGCCAAGCATACACCGTACGTCTTACTCACCGTTTACAAAGCAGCTCCGCCCCCATCTGTGAACCAGATCATCAATCTGACGTCCCTCGGTTGGGGGGAAGCATAAACTAAACGCACGAACGGAGACCAAGCTTACCGCTGACATCGAGGGGGCAGCGAGCGGTCGGGGGACGAAGCAGCCGTCGGCAGATACAGCGTAAGATCAAGGCTATTGCGTGATTCTAGGTCGACTTTTGGTTTCGTTCAAACCGCACGCAGCACAGCCAGCACGTACGAAGCAAAAAGACGTTGAGGATATATTTACTCATCGGATCTTGAAAACGGTAACTAGGTTTCGGCCTTTTTACCGTACGGTCCAGGCATGGTAGAAATTGCGGCTTAGTTACTGCAGAATGCGGACTTGCATATGTGTGCAGTTGTCGGGCTGCAGCATCTCAATAGCAGCGGGCTGTGTAAGCTTAGGGCTTGTGTGGGGTTAAGCTTTTTATGCTACGAATCGTGTGGAATGATATGAGTCTGGGGCAGGACCGTGAGCTGTCGGGGATATATGTCGCGTCTTATCTGAATAGGGGTGGCTTGGTGTTTTGGGGTGTCGGTGGGCTGTGAGCTTTGGGCTTAGAAGATGGAGGTTAGAGCTGAAGGCAAGACATGGCATTGGTGGAAGATGTGTGTATGCGATTTACAAAGCTTATTCTCTTGGAGTTTTTGAAAAGAACGGATTGGAGGATATACACAGTATGTCTGGTAGGAACAGGTGAAGGTACTATGCAAACTGTATCTTGGTCTAATGTTCATGCCTTCTTATTGGACATGTGTTTCCACCGCTGTATCTGCATGTCTTGAAACTCTGAGAGCCGTAGTAGGTGCGCCAAGCGTCTAGCATCGAGATCATGGCACGGAGAATTGACGTTCGTTGCACTTTCGTATGGGTAGTTCCGTTGGATGGACTTTCCCAAAGCATGCCCAAAGCATGCACTCCCTAAAACAACATCACACTTCCCGCTGCATTATGTACAGTCAATCTTCATTTAGAGCACATGTTCAATTTCAAAAGTAATCTTTTTTTAGACTTTGACAGCTTTGACTACGCGGGACTCAATCCCAGGTCCCCAGGTCTCAGCGTTCCTGTCAGCAACGTCCCGTCCACCACACACATGACATTTGCGTTTCATGGGGGTTTGAATCGAAGAGATCTGCCGCCGAGCAGCTGGGCATCAGCGTCGCAAAGCTTAAATTCGCGCAAAATAACATGTAATGCGTTGCCCGCGCGCGCTTTGGGCGCTCGAGTACCAGATCGTCGATCCTGCGACTCGTCTCCAAACTGATTGCAAGCTGACGGGCCGATAACCGGAGGTCCAGGTGCAGGGCGGATCCTTTTCGGAACAAAGGACGGTTAGTGATCAACTGGACACCCAACTGAGCAACGAACGCGAAAGTAGATGGCATTAGCTAACGCACCTTTTGTTTCAGCACCACCGCACAGGCAACATGTCGATACGTCGAGCGGTATGCTGCTGAACAGATCCTGCAATGATACTGAAAACGTCAATATTATCAGTCGAATTCTCAATAAGCAGGGTTTGCGATAGCCGTTGGCCTGGCTTTTGACATTTCATTGACCACGGTCGAAGATCCCGCCATGACCATGCAGATGGGCGTAGGGCGGAGGACCTGGCGGGCTTAATAAGGCAGTCGCAGCCTTGCCGACATTTAGTCTATGCAAGATGCTGTCTCAGGCTAGGCGGTCTCGGTCGTTGTAGTGCACAATGTGACGTTGGGAAGACCCTGCGTGTGCAGATGTATTCCTCTGACGTCTCGAGTGCGTGCCAATGATATAATCTAGGATCGGATTCCGAACAAAAACTGTTTACCGTATGTGATGAGCCTTACAGAAAGTCGGTGGCCTCACTTCGCGATGGGTCTCGGTATAGTTGCTGGGGTACCACACAAGTGCAGATCACCCGTGCTTGTAGTCGGTGTAGTACCACTTGGTAAACTTGGTAAATGGCCTTGGTTGGCATCGTCTCCGGGCATGATGAAGCATAGGTATGCTTGCCCTTGGCTCCCAGCATCGTGGTACAGGTATCCTTCTCGATATACTCCATGTCACATTCTTCTGCCGAAGCTAAACATTTGGTAAGGATGAAGTGACAGATGAGGAAAGTATCGATAATGCGCCAACGTACTGGTAGAATCTGGGGAAGAACGATTGCAAGTTAGGGTAAGAAGACAAATAGATTAAGCAAATGGCCGTTACTATGGCCAAAAAGGGCGAAAGCGTCCAACCGAGTCGTGGATTCACCTTGCAGAACTAATAGTTTGATGATGTGTTGGACAATCAAACTAACTAGGTGTAGAAGCACCGATCAACATGTGAATACGTACTGAAGAAAAGCATTACCTGGGTGGCTTCTTTAACTAAGATTAAAGGAAGATGGATGAGCACCGTTTGACCCAACTGGGGACACAGAGGTATTTCGTGGGAGCGAGTTACGGACGTAGGGGAAGAGTCCCTCGATGCCGTGTGCCGTGTCTTGTGCCGTGTCTTGTGCCGTGTTCGGACGGTCAGCAAAATCGCGGGTACCGATCGTCTTAGGGCCGAAGATTACATGTTCGAAAAGCGGAGATCAAACGTTTCGGAGAAGCCTCGTACGAAGCAAAGTATTTGATGCTTATGCTTCTAGCGGGTTTTGGGCTGGTAACTTATTGTGATTGATTTCGGACCGCAAACGACAGGTATGTCAGCAATGAATCCCAGATAGCAGTTTGTGTGATTGGCGTGACACTCTTCTGAGTAAGGTCGGTGGCAAAACAAGGCCGTAAATGACGCCGTATGCTGATCGTAAAATATGAAGCCTGGATACGTTACTGTACAGTCATCAGAAGAGTCTCGACTGTACGGTCATGATGCCCAGTGGGGCTGTTGGCCGCCCTCGGTCGAACCAAAGCGATGGTCAATGTGGGTGCTGCAAAACGGGAGGATCATGATCAGCAGGCCTTTTCGCGCTGCGGATATTACCGAGAAACTCTACCTCAGAAAAAGTCTGTGCGTTTGGGTTGAAGAGATGCACGTGACGCGGTCTAGCAGCCGAAATTGATCAAGTGCGCAGAACAGTGCAGC